GGTTTGGAGATGTGGCTTCGTTAAGTGAAGCGTAAAAGTCATTCAGTTTAAGAGATCGGAACTTCTCTTTTGAGATGGCGTCAGACTGAAGATCGATCAGTTGCAATTGCAGCTCATGCGGTGCTGTTTCGGGGTCTTGTGACAGGGGACAGGACACCAGCTGAAGTGACTTTTCAATTTTTTCAAAATCAGTGAACCGACGGGAGAATTCTCTGTGCAGGTCGTCCAGTAATTTGCAGTATTTCTTCACGTTTCGGGTGGCCTTCTGCATGGCCAGTGTGGGAAAATGAGCGAAAGATTTGTTTGACATTTGCCTGGAGAATAAAATCAGCTTGGATTTGAAGGCTCTCACATTTGTGTACATATCGTGCACAAACTGATCTTTCCCCTGCAGCTTAACGTTCAGCTCATTCATGTGTGACAATATGTCCACAGCAAACGCAAAGTCACAAAGCCAGTCCTCATCGCTCAGCTCAGGGAATTCGTTGGATTTCCCCATTAGCTCCAAAAACGAACAAATCTCCTCTTTGAGCTCCCACACTCGCTGGCACACTTTCCCCAAACTTAACCAGCGGACACGAGAGTGGTAAAGTAAGTCCTGGTGATCCGCATCAGTTTCCTCTAGGAACGCAATGAACTGACGGTGATTAAGTCCCCTTGCTCGTATGAAGTTAACAAGTTTTACAACTGGATCCACAACATGATTAAGCTGCAATACAGACTTACACAGAGATTCTTGATGAAGGATGCAGTGAAGAAAAATAACATCCTGGTCAGGGTTTTCTTCTTTCACTTTATCTTGGATTCTCCTCAGCAACCCGACGTTTTTTCCAGTTAAATTTGGCGATCCATCCGTGGTGACACCGGCAAGCTTACTCCAAGGCATCTTCATTCTCTCGATGACAGCAGACACCTGTTCATATAAGTCCTCTCCTCGTGTTTTCCCCTTCAGCGATTCCATGCTCAAAAGCTCCTCCGTTATCTCAAAACTGTCATTTATCCCTCGGATAAAAATTAGGAGCTGAGCAGTGTCTTTCATGTCATTGCTTTCATCCAGTGCTAGTGAAAATAAATTAAAGGACTCCGCTTTTTTGTTTAACTCGCTGACTATATGTTCGTCAATCAGTTCCACACGCCGAGTCACTGTCCTGCGTGACAAGCTGATTTTTTCAAACTTGCCTTTGCTTTCCGGACACAAGAGATCTGCTGTGTCTACCATGCATTCTTTCAAAAACTCGCCTTCGGATAAAGGCTTGCTAGCCTTTGCTAACTTGAATGCCAGCAAAAAACTTGCCTTGGTACTTGACTCCTGGATCGCAGTTTGTCGGTGAAAAAAATTCTGCTGAGTCTGTAAATTAGCTGCCAACCTCTGAGCAGTAGCCGCCCGTTCTTGTGTTGACAGCTTGCTAGCGTAGTTAGCATGCTTTGTGGCAAAGTGACGGCTGATATTGTACTCTTTAAAAACTGCAACCGTTTCTTGGCATATCAGACATACAGCCGTTGATCGGACATCAGTAAAAAAATATTTTGTTGTCCACTCCTTTTTAAACACTCGGCACTCAGTGTCCACTTTTCTTTTCTTTGGTCCGCTCATGTTTAATGTCAGCTGGAAAGTGTGTCTAGAGGGGAATGGGAAATGAATCAGGATTTTACACATCCATGGGTTTTTACGACACCGTATTTTCACGACCATAAGGTGCATCGTACTAACAGGCGCAGTCTCAGTTATGTGTCCCATTTCTGTATTTAACACA